CATACATGCAGTAGCAGCATAGAGGGACGATGAGTAGCTCATGGTGGATACATCTACAGGGAGGACATACTGCATGCCATACACAGCTTGAAGGTGCTCGGCGGTGGCCTCGAGCTACTGACGATCGGTGGACGGCGTATGCTGCGAACGGTGCCGCGGGAGCTGGGCGCGGATGATGTGCTCGTGCTGCAGTGTGCGCAGGCACATGAGGCGCATCTAAGCATCGAACAGCTGCAGGTGGCATTGAGCTGGTCATGGCATCGGGCAGAGACATGCATGGTCGGTCATGACATGCTCGCTATTGCTCATGATGTCTGCCTGCTAACATGCACCGCCACTAGACGGATTTACTCGCCCAAGGACTATGCTGGATCGATGAACAAGCGATGCCCGCCACCCAGTACTGGTTCCCGAGTCTCATGTCACATTTGCTTTTGTAATAAATCATTTACTCTCTGCTTGTAGAATGCTATTTATCCGCCGTAGCGGTCCAAAAATTGCTAATATCTATGGTGAAAGCCAGCGGACCGTGCATGCTCAGTTGGTACTTCACGGCATGCACGCCATCATTGGCCTCTCCAAGACACGAACGCTGAACGGGAGAAGCAGCGGGCAGCATGTACATGAACAAGGCGATTCTATGTAATTTGCTAGTAGGCGTGGCCTTGTGGGACCTTGCCGCGCACAGAGGATGTGGCGCACATTAGAAAGCATTTTTCATTCTTTTTTTCCTCTCTTCTTTTTCCTCACTTTCTGTGGTGCTCCCTACGTTGATCCTTGCTATTGTAGACCGTCAACATGCCACAGAACGAGTATATCGAAGAGTCGATCAAGCGCCATGGCCGCCGCCTCGATCATGAGGAGCGCATGTAAGAAGTGCAGCCGCCACCACAGTGTGTGCGTATGCATATATATGTGCCTTGACTCACCGCCTTGATGCTACTAGGCGTAAGCGAGAGGCGCGCCAGGTGCACAAGAATTCGCAGTTTGCACAGAAGGTCCATGGTCTGCGCGCCAAGCTACACAACAAGAAGCGCCATGCCGAGAAGATCCAGATGAAGAAGACGTAAGTATATGCGCCACCATATCCATTATCGATGCACTAATGGCCGCCGATGATGGCAATAACGATGGTGGACAGCATCAAGATGCACGAGGAGAAGAACGCGAAGCAGAAGAATGAGGAGGCCGTGCCGGAGGGTGCCGTGCCGGCCTACCTGCTCGACCGTGATGGCCAGCAGCGCGCCAAGGTGCTCTCGAACATGGTGAAGCAGAAGCGCAAGGAGAAGGCCGGCAAGTGGGATGTGCCGCTGCCGAAGGTGCGCGGCATTGCCGAGGACGAGATGTTCAAGGTGCTCAAGACGGGCAAGAAGAACTCGAAGCAGTGGAAGCGCATGGTCACGAAGGCCACCTTCGTCGGCGATGGCTTCACGCGCAAGCCGCCCAAGTACGAGCGCTTCATCCGCCCGATGGCCCTCCGCTACAAGAAGGCCCACGTCACGCACCCGGAACTCGGCGCGACCTTCCACCTGCCGATCATTGGCGTGAAGAAGAACCCGCAGAGCCCGCTCTACACGCAGCTGGGCGTCATCACGAAGGGCTGTGTGATCGAGGTGAATGTAAGCGAGCTCGGTCTTGTGACGACGGGCGGCAAGGTGATCTGGGGCAAGTACGCGCAGGTCACGAACAATCCCGAGAATGATGGTTGCATCAATGCCGTGGTAAGTCATCATTAGCATTAGCATGCATAGACAGATGCACTAATTATTGTTTGTTTGTTTATTAGCTCCTCGTGTAATGCAGCAGCAGCAGCAGCAGGCACAACTACGCCATCGATGCACAGCGCGCATGCACGCATTCTATTTGTCGGTTGTACTCTTTACATCATTCATCCATCATGATAATAATAACATTGCACACACGCCAAATCAACGACCATTGCTCTTCATTGTGTATTTACATCGATGTGTGTGTGTCCACGTGTGTGCTAAGCACGATCGCGTAGCTCGTGGTTGTTGATGGCCTTGCCCGTCGATGTGCTGTAGAGCGATCGCTGGTCGTCGTACCACCATGTGCGTAGGGTGCGGTCATCGGATGCGGTGGCGAACAAGCCTTGGTCGCGCGACCATCGCGCCGTGTAGACGATGCCCGTGTGGCCACGCAGTCGCTGCAGCACCTCGCACGTCTCCTGGTCCCATAAATAAACAATGCCATCCTAGCACATCCGCGTAAGCATAGAACAGCCACAGAATAAGCATGCAGGCATGCGCGCGAACCTCTGAACCACCGACGACGAGCGAATGATGGGCGAACGATGCCCGTATAAAGTTCCTCGACGTGTTCTGGTGGCCCTTGAGCCGACCAATGGGCCTCATCTACGCGCACATCATATGAATACACTGCTTTCTATCATGGATGCATTAGCGCATAGTTACCATGCGTATGTCCCATAGTCGATTCGAGTTATCCTTCGAGCAGCTAAGCATAAGGTTGCCCTGGCCATTGACGTCCACCGAGGTCACCTCGCCCAGGTGGGAGGTCATCGTGCGCACGCACAGTCCCGAGGACACATCCCAGAACTTGATGGTCTTGTCCTTGGAGCTGCAAAACAATGCGCATGTTCAATTGCTTGCTCGCCTACTTGCTCGCTCGCTTGCTTACCCGGTGATGATTAGATTGCCCAGTGGATTGCAGATGACGCTCGTCGTCGATAGCTCGTGGCCCACGAAGGTCTTGACGAGCTTGCCCGTCTCCACATCATGCATGCGCACGACGCGGTCATAGCCACCACTAATCACATGCGCCTATGCACACACACACACACATATATTGCTCGTTAATGCTTGGCTATCCCCTACATGTGCTCGCATCACTGGCCACCTACGTCGCCCGGATGGTAGCAGGCCGAGTACACATCGCCATCGTGGCCTTGCAGCACGGCGGTGCACGTCTTTTGCTCGATGTCCCATATCTACACGCCGGAGGCATAAGCATCGCTGCAATGTCGACGACGACGATGATGATGGCCGCTAGCATGATCACCTACCCGCACGGTCCGGTCACTCGACGCGCTCACCGCATAGCGTCCCGTGGCATTGGCATTGACGTCCCACACGCGCGAGCTATGTCCATTCAGTATGCCCAGACACTCGCTGCTCTCCGTGTTCCACAGTCGCAGTGTGTTGTCGCTACGCGTGCATGTGTATGAGTCTACATGCTACTCTCGCGCTCATGATGCCATCCCCCACGCTGCCTACCTCGATCCCGAGAGTATGTACTTGTCGTTGACACCGGCAAACGTTAGGCATTTGGCGTTGTGGCGATGGCCGCGGAATGTCTTGCACATGGCATTCGGTATAACAAAGCTCGCGTAGTCGGCCAGCAGGCTCGTCGACTTGACGATGGTCTTGGAGTGATAGCGCGAGTGCTCCATCTGATATGCGACTGCCTGTTGCAGCAGGCCAATGAGCCTGTTCTCTGGCACGCGCACAGCATCTAGTGACAATGATGATGATGGCGCGGTTATTGCATCCATGCTTGCCATCGCATACCGGCCTCCCCCTCCTCCTCCACTGCTACTTACTCTCGCGTATGGTGCGCTCCGAATCAAGCATATTCTGGAACTGCTCGACCAGTCGCTCTCTATGTGCGCATGCAGAGAGCGCGTTAGCCCAGCGCATGCGCATGCACTGCCATGGCAATCGCCCACCTCGATGGACCGATGCCCTCCCAGCTCTTGAAGGAGGGCGCATCCTGCACCGACTTGGCCGTCAACAGGTAGCACAGATCCTTGAACTCGTCGGGCGTCGTCTGCAGATGCTCCAGCGGCTTGATGCGCCGCGACAGATGCAGGAATGCCTACAAGCAACATGCCCATGAGTGCATCCATGGCGTGTGCTGTCGCCGCATCCGTCCCTACCTTCTGCACCTCATGGTGCTCGATATACTCGAGGAACTGCTGGCGATACACCGCGTAGAGAAAGCTTTTCTGGTGGCGGATAAGCGGTTTCGTGCACAGCTTGTCCACCTCGGGCCAGTCGCCCTCTACATGCCAATGGCGAAGGTAAGCAGGCGCACGATGCCAATGCTGCTGCCCTGCTCTCATCCACTTGCCTAGGATCGCCTTCTTTAGCCTGCGCACCTCGGCCTGATGCTCGTCGCGCTCGTTGCGCTTGACGTTCGCCTCGTCGTAGAGAGTCGTCTTTGATGCCTGGTAGCCCTCGTTGCTGAGATACTGCAGTATCATGCATATGATGTCCTAGTGCATGCCATGATGATGCGTCAGCATGCGGCGACTATCGTGCACGGCAGCCGCCCACCTGCTTGATATTGGGATCATTCATGTCGAACAGATCATCCGTCGCCTGGACGTGGAGCGACCGTGGCCGGCCCGCGTCTCCATGCGCGGCCATCTTGCCACTCTCTTGCAGGCCGCAGTTAATCAGGTTCGTCGCTAGCCGGCCAAGACTGCCATCGCGTGGTTAGTGCCCAGTATGCGGCCACGCGACCACGGCGACGCACCTTCTCTGCCGGTCGGTTAGCTTATCGCACGTCGTTCCACGGTCGGTAGCGGCATCGGCCTCCGTGGCGGGCGTGTTTGCCGTCGTTGGCGGTGCAGATTCGCGGTGCAGCGACGACAGCGATGTATCGTTCTGAGCCGGGCTGGAAGGCGCTGGCTGGCCGGTGGGCGCGTCGTTCGGTGTCGCCGCCGACATGGTCTGACCAGCAAGCAGTAAAGCCTATCGACTACCGGCTATGGAGCAGTGCCGTGGCGAGGAAGTATAAATGCTTGTGGAACAGGTCAAGAAAAGAGCAGATGTGTGCGGTGGATGGTGGGAGGTTGCCATCCAAACATCATACACATACGCGCCAAAACAACACCATACAAGCGCGTTCCTTCCTTTCTTTCTCTCGCCTCCAACTAGCGCGCCGCTCTATGTTTGCCGCGACAAAAAGGCGGCTTCGCTTCTTGCTTAGCATATGCAAAAGAGCAAAAAGAACGCTCCTGGGTGGGCTCGAACCACCAACCTCCTGATTAACAGTCAGACGCGCTAGCCGATTGCGCCACAGAAGCGTACATTTTTTGAGCGGCAGCGCTGTCTTTATATAGCCAGGAAGCCATCTTAAGCAGGCAAAATCCAGGCAATCACCACCCCATACTTTATCATCTTGCCTACTTGTATAATTAATCATCATCATCATCATTCCATGCATGCATATCCATCACTGCTTGCTGCTATGCACACCCACTCATTGTCCATGCGTATCATTGCCTGCTTTATTGTTGTTTGTCAATGTGCTCCCTTGTGCCATCCACAT